TGCCTAGTATCTAGACCGATCATGAATATAACGGACCCTAATCGTCATTAAATGAATATAACTAAATGATAGAACACATGGTTTACCGTCTCCCATTATTCATTGTTTATTGGTTATGCCCTTATGCTCCTAATTTCAAAATTAAGATACCGAATCTCTCTAATGGTTAAAATTGCATTATTCTCCCTGAATATCCTGTCCTTTTTTTCTATTACAAGCAGACAGATAACTCATTAATCTTATCGATGTTGATCAACTATGGTCGATCATAAGAAGCTCATAATATCCTAGGTTCTCGTGAGCCGCTAAATGTTTTGTTTTCTTACTCCGAAAATTATACAATTCTAAACTCTTGCGAATTCTTTGATTTGCTATTTATCTTTACGGTCTCTAAACTACATAATCTGGCCTGTTTTATTACTTATACCATTATTTATCTTCAAAGCAGTGTGATATACTAAATAGATATCTAACCCACAATACAGAGGCTTCGACCATCTGATTTACTTGTAACATGGGACTAGTAGAAACAGTTTATTGCAAAAAGGAGCTTAGATAAAATTAATATTCATACACACCATAAACGTAAGAAAGCCTAACATCACAAAAGGAGGTAGGGTGGCGCTACCGAAAAGCAAACATGATGGTAGGGGGTAACTTCGATCCACCTATATCTGTAGAACAGAACATTTTGTTTAAATGCGGCTCATTATTGAAGTCGGATGTCACGAACCAGTCGTTTTGATAATAATGCAACGGTAAATAAATCCCCAAAATAAGTAGCTCTGTAACTTTTCGACATTGGATGCTGACCACATTAGTTTTAATGGACTCACCTAGCTAAAGGCGCTCGGTCATACATCCACACCATATCACGAGTGGGAACGCTGTGCTCAACATCACCTTCAATCGCTAGCCAGATTAGACCAGACGATCCTCGACATATTAATAGCTTATCAAATATATCTTTGAACCTCCTCGCTTCTGTCTTTTGATTGCACTTAGTGAGTGCGATTCATAGTAGAAATTGTTACTTGTTAAAGCGTTGTCAAACGCCAAATACCCATGGCATCTTCAATAATTTATTATGCAAGGTACATATTTAAGTCGTGTTTGTGACGTTAAATTGATCTCATTTGCTATAGAGTAATCCTATTTACAAGCGAAAATATACAAATTGCCAAAAACGAAGCCTGTTCATAACCCTATAAAATCAATCAAAATAAAATAAACTGAAATGGCTTCGACAAAAAGGGAGATAGTCATTTGTGTGTCAGAATACTGTTTTCGGTACTATATTTTAATGCTTCACATAATCCTATACTTTTAACTTCTTTTTGAGCTACCTCCATTTATTCACTTCTTTGTCCATTTGTACTATATTCACTCTTGATTTCTTTAACCTGTAAGGATGCTCTTGCTTATGAGTACCTTCATAATAGAATATTAGACTTAGTGGCGAGACTCTTATTTATGGACGACCTCTGAACGAATTTTAAGTGACCTTGAGAATATTAGTCAATCAGCGAACTGTCAGTGTAAAATAAAAATATATAAAACCAGGGAAATAAAGCGGATACACTTCTTATACGTGGTTCAAAAACTTGTCAAGGTTAGAAAGAGGTTCTGAGGTTGTAAAATCGTAAAGCATGCAGTGGAGGAAACCATCCATATGGCTACAGAATAGTCGGCCTCTGGAGCCATGAAAAAGTCTTAAAAACTCTTTCAGACTCGACCACATAGTTTCAATATTGTTTATGTGTACTTCGGCTGTTGAGTGCACAAAATGCTACTAGTAGATAACGACACGATGCACATAACCAAGCCTATGTAGGAGTCTGTACGCTCTCTAAACATTCGTATATACTGTAGTACCTGGCTGCAACAAGTGTTACTGGTGCTTTTGTTATCCAATTCGCGATAGTTATCATAATTTGCATTATTTAGGAATTATATATGCGGTTTTCATCACGAACTGACATAAGCCTTAATGTCAGCCGCTCAATTATCACGTTTTATATAAAATTCGTTGTGAACCCATCGTACGTTAGCGTTAAGCACTGAAGTTGGCGCTGTAACCTTGAAATCTCGGAAACACTTCTGACTGGCTCGTCCATAAATTAGAGTCTCGCCAACTAAGTAGTCATATATTTACTATTTAGCCACAAATGACTCGGCTTCAACAAGCATGAACATTGTGTGCTTTGCTCCTCATCCTTTCTTTTTCTTGCTCTCTTGTTCGGTCCTCTCTAGATATGCTACTGATAACGCATATGTGACGAGTGACTTCGTCCTGCGCCATCACTAATGCCTTTGATGTTTCAGAGGGATATAAGGTCACGGTTTAAATAAGCTCTCAAAATTACGTTTATTTGCTGCCGGATAAGAGTTGCACGTCTTAAAGTAAACTGAGAAGAGCGCTCCAATTGTCATATTGACAATGAGGATGTTACTAATAGTATTTGCATTCAAATGTGAGAAGGGTAATCCTCCATAATTTTATGACCAGTGTACCTCATAAAATAGTTTTTCGTGGTTGGAGGTTTTTTAGCGAGTTAGTTTTCTACGAGATGAGGTCAATAACCTCATGCCCAAACCTCCTCATTTATCCGGGCTTGGGACCGGCAGAACGTAGATTATCTGTGTCGAACGATCGGAAACTTACTCCAGAATGGCATGACGACACCAGCTAACGTCGAAGTCACACCTCGCGGTCAGCACCTTGCGTGGACTACCCCATTGATGTATAAATGTATCATAGATGCTTGGAAAAGTACCACAACACAGAGAACGTTATTACAGAAATGTATTAGTCAATGTAGATAGAAGTGAAAGTAAGACCATCGCTGCAAGTGCCAGTCCATGTCGTACGATTAACTGATGGGCGTCGGTCGTCCTTGATCTTGACGAGGATCGATGAGTTGTTCGACAATCAATGACCCGACTTCCGGATGATTTGGCTAGTGCTTAGTGGAATTTCACTAGCCCTACAGCCCTATAGGGGCTCCAGGCGGAGGAAGAAATCAGGATGGAGCGCTGGAAATGGATAAGACACATATTGAGGAAAGCACTCAACTGCGCCACAAAGCAAGAAGGAGAGGGAAACCAAAGAAATGGAGACAGACATGAGAAGAATGAACTAAAATTGTATAGAACTAGAAAGTATGGCCCAGGCCAGTGTGAGTCGGAGAACGCTAGTCGGCGGCTCACTCTCCATAAAAGGCATAAGTACGTACCTTTTAAGAAATCAAACTCACTGAATAACCCACCACAGTAATGACTGTATCTTCCGTAACAATTCGGTCTTGCCCGTCAACTGGCATGCCTAATGTGACACACTGTAATTTCAGAACAAATAATACATGTTTTTGTCATAACTTGTGTAGATCGAAGAAGTGCTCACCAAGGACATTACTGCTGAAGCAGTGGCCCACACATTCGTCGAACGATGGGTGGCAGACTTTGGCTATCCTTAAACAATCATTACTGACCGCAGACACCAGTTCGGATGTGAACTTTTCCGTTGTTTGATTTCACTACTAAGAATCACACGACTTCGAACGACTACACACCACACACAGGCAAATGGGATGATAGTGCGATTTCAGTGACCGCCGAAAGCTTCACTCTCAGCTGCAAGCGTTTCATAGTGCGCTGACTCTCTTCCACTCGTGTTACTCGGCACTCGCAATGCAACGAAAGCTGACATTCGAATTTAGAATCCCAGACCTTGGGGAATACGGTGAATAGATGCATCGCTGAATTTCCGTGGCATCTTTAGATGAAAGCATGCAGATACTAGATGAATGATATAGTAAACTGGCCTGTAAATACACCCTTCACTCCTTATGTGTTGTAGTGTCGGTTACTACGTTAAGCCCATATACCTGATTCCAGCTTCTGGACACGCCATCTTATCTATTCCTTTTGAGTCACGTTTCTACCTTTTTATTATGCACATATCAATCCTGACTTTGTATATAAGCACATCTGCATACACTTATCGTACTCATCACACGTCTGTATCTTATTTTGGTGGGACTATGAGTATTGATTTACGCTCGATTAAATCGAGCTGACTCACATGCTCTCTCCACTGCACGTCGTTTCGCTCTCTCTCTGTGCTTCTTTCACTACGTCTCTCTGATTACTTGTTCCAATCAACGATTGTACAAAATACATGTATCGGAAAATCCATTCTCGTATTTGGATTATTTGATTCCGTTATTCACTAACGCGATCTAAGTCGGTATTTATATACGAGGAATGACGATGTATGTATATAAATATATCAGTCAGAAACGGTCACAACGGAGTCAGATCCCGGGCTGCGAAAGTGTAATCAATTTTTGCAATTTACCACTTACTGTGGTATATCTAGCATTTTCCAACTAGCCTTTCATTCGGAAACGTGATGTGTTTTCGAAAACTCAAAACAGTACTTCATAACTATTTGCTAATATTTGATCTTTTTTCTTTTGATAAACGTCATTTCCCACCCAGTGGCTTGTTAAGTGAAAGTTTTTCTATTCCGTTCACGCTTGTGGAGACCCACAACTTGTTAGACAGCGAACAATATGATTTCAGAAAAGGTGTATCTTATACAACAAACCTCCTTATAACGACGTAACAATAGATGTAAGCTCTAGACAATGGAAAATTAGTGAAAGTTGACTATATATACTTTGGCAAAGCATTTGACAAGGTGCTAACAAATAGATTGCTATTGGAGCTAAAAAGATCTTGAAGTTGCCGGATCTCCCCTGAAATGGCGTGAGGATTTCCTAGTAGGCCGTAGACAGAAAGTATGAAAGAGTAGAAGAACCAAGAACGAACAAAATACCAGTGGCATACAGGTTTTCACATCGAGTCATCAATTCTTTGAACCTGTCTGCAATTTCAATTGACTCATTCAGGAGAAGACTGGACACTCACAGAAGCATACTATGAAGTGAATAACATAGGTCGTAGGCCTTTTGTCTTGAATACACAAATCTTATTCTGAATAAGGCATTCGAATCATCTATAGGCGGAGGGATATTTGAGAATTGCGTTGCTCAAATATGAGTGAGGATAAGTCGGACGATGTTTTGCGACATTTTATCAAACATACTGAGAAATCAAATGTAAGAAGGTCGATCATTGTTAAAGCAACAAAGAGAAAAGCGTCCATGATTGCACTAGCCGCATTCGGTTTTGCTTGTGCAAGTTGTATCCTTTAATTTTGATAAGACATACGTAAAAGTTAGTTGTAATTGTCTGTCTTTATTACTAATAAAGAAACCAGTTGTGTATTTTTTGTAAAGGTTAAATAATTTGGTGCTTAAGAGCTAGACTTCTTTCACAGAACTCATCGGGACGTAAAATCGTCCCAGTCATTTACTAAAACAACAGTTACAGTCATTTAATGTTAAATATACGTACAGTGGAACGTTGACAAAATAAATACAAGTAATATTAAAAACTTCACATAATAAGCTTGTCAGTCATATCTCCACAAACTCCACAGCACTAAGCATCCCAAAAACGTGCACCTATTCATGGGTTATCCGTGATATCGTAAAATTTTTTGCTGCGGTATTACTTAAATGGAGATAAAGTGTCTGCATTAGTGACGTTAGTCCTTATAGGAAGTAATACTTCAGGCGATAGTGTCTAATAAACTATTTCCATTTTTGCAAACATTGTCGTGTTTACTAATGAACGTGAATCTCACCCTATCGCGTAACTCGAATTTAAAATATTCAGATAAAACCACGTGTGAAGTCCGATTTTCAGACGCATATATATATATTGTTTGCGCGCTATTTAAAAAGGACAGTGGTATTTTTCCTCGCTGAGTAAATTTCATTGTTTTGATCGTTTATTACGTATCAAGACTACTGTTTTTCACTTTAATTGAATTTATTTCAGTTAAAGTATTCGACTAAAGTATCGTTTTTACTGTTTTGTCGTTGGTACTCTTTAGTACCACTTTTTCAACTGTATCTGTTAGTACTTTTGGTCCTAGCAATCTACAGCTCTTCACTTTTTTGGTCATTGATAATTTTTTTGTTTCTGGGTATCATCGCATATTGAAAAAACCCCTCCTAAATGACCGGACAGTGTAAAAAAAGCAGTTGCCAACGTCCGGGTTGTCGTTATCCTGTTGAAAGCGGCATGCAGTGCGACGAGTGCAAAGGCTGGTACCACGAAGTTTGCACGAACTTAACGCCTGCTGCTTTCAAACGGTTCAGTAAGAAGGGTTGTGTGTGGCTTTGTCAACAGTGCTGCTCGGATGCAAACAGCTTGTTAACCGAGGCTATCTCACTGGTTGATGCTGCCAAGAAGTGTTTCAACAAGCATAGTCGGAACGCGTCAAACAGCACTCGATCTGTTGACACGCAAATCAATGTGAAGGAAACTAAGGTGAGTCCGGTGATAGATGATTCACGCCCATCGAAGAAGGAAAAGCAGTATCCAAAGGGGTCTGCCTTAAAAAAAAGCTCAAGAAAAGCAGGGTCTTCTGTTCCCCGTCTCCCAGATGGGATCCAACAGGAAACACCTAGGAGCCGCAATCGCAAGGCTCGATCGGTTTCGACTGATAAACATAACACGACCCCTCAGGTCGTCGATAACCCCCCAAAACCCAACACTAGTTTTGACGCAACTGCTACTGCTTCTACCAGCAGCGTTAACGAATGGGTAAAGGTTGTAAGGAAGAAAAGTATTGACATAAAAGGGAAACCTGCCCCCGTAAAAGTGGTTGAAAAATCGAAAGCTGATCATAGCGACAGATCAGCTATTTTTCATAGAATTAAGGAGAGCGATAGCTCTGAACCTAAAGCTCGTTTTGAGCATGACATTGTACTGATTAGGCAGCTGCTTAATCAACTCATGCCTCAAAATATGACTGGGGTCACCTTGCTAAAGGTGTATAGACTAGGGAGTCTAACGGACTCGAAACCAAATCATTCCAGACTGCTTAAAGTAGTATTCGGCTCTTCAAACGAACGTGACCTAATTTTACAAAATGGACACAAATTAAAGGGTTCGGGAGTCTTTATTCGAAAGGACCTACCGTTGGCAGACCGTGTTAAAAGACGGGAAGCCGAGAAAGAACTACAACATAGGTTAGACGCTGGCGAAAAGGACCTGAAAATTGTAAATTTTCGGGTTGTAAGACTTCGACAGAGAATGATGCCGAAGCCACTCTGGGTGAAGCACGAAGGCACCTAAACAGGCTTCGGATCTGTTACACCAATGCACGAAGCTTACTCAATAAGCGATCGGAACTAGGTGTACAGATTGACTCTATAAAGCCAGATATAATCGCAGTAACAGAAACCTGGCTGACACAGGCTATAGATAGTATAGAACTTGATTTCGAGGGCTTTACGTTAGTAAGGGCCGACAGAACACAAAAGCGCAAAGGAGGGGGAGTAGCTCTATTCATTAGGAATGCTATCCCATTTACCATTATCGATAGTGTATCCCATGAGAGTGGGACATGCGAGTTAGTTAGTCTTCGCTTAAAATGCAAGGGACAAGAGCTGCTGATTGGTTTGGTCTATCGCAGTCCAAGCTGTGAGGCAAATGAGATCCTGTTAAGCAGTCTCAATACTTGGTCCCAAAGTGGTCGATGTCTAATCCTAGGGGACTTTAATGCACCAATGTTAGACTGGGAAAATCTGCGAACTGAATCGTCAGAAAATTCCTTTGAGCAGGAACTAGTTGATGCGGTTATCACATGTGCCCTAGTGCAACATGTGAAAGAAGCGACTAGGTACGACCCGGACACTGAATCATCCTTATTAGATCTTATACTGACTCACTATGAGGATGATGTTGCGAACCTCCACCATATGCCACCCTTAGGTAAAAGTGACCACGCAGTTTTAACTTTCGACTTCCATATAACTGCCAGTCATGAGGACGCGTCAGTCCAGTCCAGACCCAACGTCTGGAAAGCAAACATACCAGAAATCATGCACTCAGCATCGTTAATAGATTGGACAATAGACCCAGAGTCCTCCATTGAAACGGCCTGGGACACATTTCGAAAATCATACTTAAAAGTTACCACACCTCACATCCCTTGGACTATACCAAAGGGGCCGAAAAACTCACCACCATGGTTCAGTAGGGAGGTCCGTATCCTTCTCCGTAAGAAAAGGAAAACGTGGGATAGATTTAGGTTACTGGGGACTGATGAGTCAAAATCTCAGTATCGAAAGGCTCGGAACACTTGTGCCTCGACCCTCCGTAAGTCTAGAAAATTGTACGAAGAAAAACTTGTTAAGGAATCCATAGAATGTCCTAAACGCTTGTATTCCTATATAAACCAAAGGACAAGGAGAAAAGGTAATATTCCTGCTCTATGGGGAGACAGTACTGCTTCATCACTAGTGGAGGACGACTTTGGTAAGGCTCAAGCGTTCTCGAACTACTTTAGCAACGTGTATACCATAGAAGCGCCCTTCTCGTCAGCGTATACAGATCCCCCCATACATACACTGGATAGCGTGACCATTAAAGAACTCGATGTCTTTGGTCTGCTAAATAAGCTTGACATAGGTAAATCCACGGGGCCCGATGAATTACATCCTAGGCTACTGAAGGAATTATCTAACTTCGTTGCGAACCCTTTAAGTACATGCTTCAACCTATCCGTTACGCAGGGTCGCTTACCGAAAGATTGGAAAAACGCCATAGTAAGTCCTGTCTTCAAAACAGGCACGAAACACAAACCTGAGAACTACCGCCCCGTTAGCCTAACTAGTGTGGTTGTTAAAATATTAGAAAAGATTATTCGGAAGGAGCTGTTTAAGTATCTCGATAAAAACCGGATCCTCTCGGAGAAGCAGCATGGCTTCAGAATAGGTTATTCTTGTCTCACTAACTTATTAGTGGCTCGTGAAAGTTGGTGTGCTCTTAAGGACCAAAAGCTACCTGTAGACGTCGCCTTCATTGATTTCAGTAAAGCTTTTGATAAAGTTCCGCACAACCGGCTGTTATATAAGTTAAGACATGTCGGGATTGGAGGTAATTTATTGATGTGGATAAAAGACTTCTTAGTTGGGCGTCAACAAAGAGTAAGGGTGAACTCAAAGTTATCTAGCTGGGAAACTGTGCTTAGTGGAGTGCCCCAGGGTACAGTTTTGGGGCCAGTGCTATTCCTCTTATATGTAAATGATCTTCCTTGTCTCCTATCATCATCGGTCTTGCTATATGCTGACGATGTCAAGATATGGAGAACGATACGATGTAAGAGTGATAGCTTAGAACTTCAAAATGACCTGAAGAAGTTATCTGAATGGTCTCAAACATGGCAGTTGCCGATAAATACTTCCAAGTGTGTTGTGATGCATATCGGTCATCAAGGCACAGATACATACACGATGAATAACACTGAGCTACCTGTCGTCCAGACATATAATGACTTAGGAGTTATCGTTAGTCAAGACTTAAAGACTACTGCACACTGCCGTGCAATAGCCGCCAAAAGTTTTAGAACGTTATGGTCAATACGTAGGGCTTTTAGTCATGTCGACACTAAGACGTTTTTGACTTTGTATACAGTGTTCGTTCGTCCTAAACTTGAGTACTGCATACAAGCGGCTAGCCCCTGCTTTAAAAAAGACAGAGAGCTTCTGGAAAAGGTTCAGAGAATGGCGACTAAGCTGGTTCCCGCAATAGCGAAGCTTCCGTATGAATCTCGACTGGCCAAGCTGAACCTTTTCCCGTTGTCATATCGCAGAACTAGAGGCGACTTGATTACAGTCTACAAATTGCTTAGTGATAAATTTGCACCTGATATGCCCTCATTTTTCTTGTCTTCCAAAACAGAGAATTTACGAGGACACTCCAAAAAAGTTCATAAGCCGAGAACAAATTACTTGTCAGCTGACTATCGACTTTCCCATCGAATCATCAACGAGTGGAATTCACTACCTCAGCACGTGGTTGAGGCTCCATCCGTCGACTGTTTTAAAAGAAAGTTGGATCAACTGAGAGACCACCATTGCCAGGACTAACATAGGCCATCGAGCCTCCTGTCCTTCCCAAACTGAAACTGAAACTGATATATATATATATATATATATATATATATATATATATCACGGTTAGTAATGGAGCTGGTGAACATCAATGTTTATGCTTTTAGCACCGTTTCAAGTATATGGATTATTGTCAACCCTAGCCATTGGTTGTATGTCAGGCTTTTCACAGTCAGATAATCCCTGTAACGTTTTCGAGCTCCTGCCGCTAAGAGGATACGTTTTGGACAATAGTTGGGCACTTCAATCAGGCTTAAGATATTCACCAACCTAAAATGGAACCTACATCGGGCTTCCCAGTTTCCTTTTGGAGAAAATAAAGTGGTGGTAAGACCATCTCAGGCGATGGGTTTTTCTCAGTACAACCCTTCTTGGAATTGGTCTGCAGGAGCTGAAACCATTTGTTGATGGTTCGATAGTAATGTCGTTAGTCATATAATACGCACGTCATTCTGGCCTTATAAGCTTGCTTGGAGCGCAGTTGTGAATATTGTGTTCCAAAAGGCAAGAGAAAACGAGATTATGTCAAATACGAATTTATTAAATAGTTTATTAACTGATTATTTCACCTCTAGTCCTTCTGTGATAGGCTGAACAGGTTTAGTATAGCTAGTCTCTCGTAATGCAGTAAACACAATATTCTGACAATCAGTTTGGTTGTGGTTTGCTTAACGTTTTGAACAGCTTGCTATCTTTTTTAAAAAGGACGAGATGATTCGTACGGAATACTCGCGTTCTCGGTGAATAAATCCTCCATACAATGGAGTGAGATATATAGTACTCATTAGTTAATTTATTATTAACACATATGTAGGTTTGCAACTAGATCGCTAGTAGTGGGTATTTGTATAATCAATCTTTCGCTTAACTCCTTAAAGAGCATTTAGATGTCTACTCTTTGTATGCTATAAACCGAAACCGAGAGCTTGGTGCTTCATTCGATCAACAGCCTTCATATACCTCTTCAGAGTGATTTAGCGAGCTTTAATATCATCTGATGCTAATGTGTACTCGGGAAGTTATCTATATTTGTACCTCATCCTTAGTAATCGGTTAAATATACATATATTCATAAATATTCGATCGTTATTCTCCCTGTGTTTACTGTCTCCGTTGCTTCATATCATATCATTCATATCATTTAAGAGTGGGCTTAGAATAATTCTAAGACGGAGAAAACGTGTGACATCCTCAAATAGTTTTCTAGTCGTAATAATGATGCGAGGGCTTTGTATTCATTAATGAGTGTAAGAGAACCTTGAATTGTGAAGTTATCTAGGCTATATTTATATCAACCGTTTTAACGCTTATAGATCTGACTAGAACGTACATGTTTATAAAGTTGGTGACGCAGACGATTTGTCTTAAGGGCTGATAACCCGAAAAATTCCAGGCTGGTATACAAGTTACATGTAGTGACTCATAAACCAACTTGTGTTCATTTTCATCCATTTTCAGTACATTCTAATTATATTTAGCTGCATATATATAAGGCATTTGTGTGTTTTCTGACGGAATTTATAAAACATTTATTGGAGAAACATTTCACTGTAATTTTTCGGGATATCATGAAGCAATTCTATTACTCAACTAGTGCATGTCGACGCAAGAAAAGAGCCTTTGGCTGTCATATTTGTTGACGCTCCTGAAGTAATGAAAGATCATTCGTATCAATTGAGAACGCATTGATTAATGGCCAAGTATGTTCAATTTGTTTAGTGATTTGTTGTGTAGGATTAAAATGAATTAAAACACCAGTTTAATATGGTCGCTAGGACTTATTCCATACAAAAGAAATAAAAAACTTCTTTGTTATTTTTAGTCGTTAGGTAAGTTCTCAACACAGTATTTTGTGTGTTACTCGTGTTAAGTAAGGAGTATAATATTCTATGTCGTTAACTTCCTATCTGGTTTGTACTGATCGACAGATTCACCACGTTGTTAGGTGTATGATGATGTATTAAGTTGAGATCCAGTAACTTTAAAATTGTAAGTTCCGTAACCAGTCGTAACGGAGAAGCGGTCGAGTGTTAGTGGAAATTTGAAATATTTAGTGTGGTATGTTTTAATTGTATTTTTATACCTTTATGCCTTTAGTGATTTTTATTTCTCTTCCTTTTTATCGGTTTAACTCACTACCAACTTATATTATTCATTGGAATCCTCCTCTGAATAATGATTCTGTAGTAAGTATAGAACATTTGATTATTTTAAACTTTTAACGCTTTAGGCACGAAACTCATTGTTCACTTATAATTTAAAGCAATTAATCAGGAAGACGAAAATGTTATGCATTTTCATACGTTTCTAACAGTCTGATCACATACTTTTCAAAGCTCTTATATACGAAAACTGATGAAGTTTGAAGGGGATAATTGGGAATAAAAGAGAAAAGAAAATAATACAATATAGAAAGCATTGACAGTTAACATACTACCCTAGACCATAAAATGCTTTGAAAATTACCAGAGGAAATTTAAGGTTACAACCACTTGTTTTTTTTGTATATAGAGATTTTTGTTGGCGATAAAGACTTCTAGAAACCTAAGAATCCACTCTTGACGTTTCAGAAGCTTTGTTAAGGTCAGTCCTATGACCCATTCCAATTGCTTGTTTTGATGGCGATGAACCTGGTTCCCTACCGCTGATGTTCATCGGAGCGTTCGACACACATAACAATAAAAATAAGTTCAAACTTGTTTTGATTACTTTCATTTTACGTAGATTATGTGGACAAATTTCGTGTTTATAGTATGATAATCTCGCAAACAGATTAACCATGCGATCCCAGTAGAACAGAAGGTGAAAACAAGCCATAAAATCGGATATAACAAAAGCCTATCGACACCTTGACTTTTTTGGTCTGCTTTGTTCAATTTTATTTTGTATTGTGGCTATAAATTGACTGATCTCCATTTTTGTTTAAAACATTCAGTGTAAACGTGCCAGATTCATATGATTAAATTCTAACGGTTTTTAAGCCTTATCAGTCAATTAGCAAAACTGAGTGTCATAACTTTCAGTTTGGGCTATAGAGATCGTTGAATTTCATTGAAATCATGAACCGATCAGTGTTAGACCACCATTGAGAACCTGGAAGTACTGGACGGTCATTTCATCCTAATGTGGGACTCTTCGGAAATGCGCCCCCATGATCCTGCACGCGGAATTTAAGCCCAGGAACTCCGCTCTCGCTCTGGAAGCCTTGGTTATACGGAAGTTGAAACCCCCTTTATGTGTTCAAAAACAATTTGTCCTTACACTTAACCTACCATGGTAATACTGATTTATTATGCAGAGTGCTAATCACATTAGTTTTTGTGTACTTTAATATTTTTCCTTTGTTATGACTTACCCTTAACCTGTCTGGTTGACCTTTTAATTTTCATATGTAAATGTTCTTAACAATTATATATGTGATCTGATTGTTCGGAATGTATTGCGCAAATATATCACATAATTCTGATAAATTTCGTCTTATCATTGCATTATCAAAATACTGTGTATGTTGATCAAAGATAAAAGTTGAATCTTTCAATATTGAAATTTATATTTGTGATAAGATGCTAGGAACACTGTTGATAAACTTTTATTACATTAAACAACTTATTGTTTCCAAAAGTTTAATTGTTGATGGACTATATCGGTTTGTTTAAAGACCAGTATTAATATAAAGTTTGAAAATATTAGCGAGCTTTTTTGTAGTTGGCGATGAAATCATTCGACTAAGCCATTTTCTGCTGGGTGGTTGGTTGTTTTAATCTGATTCGCTCCTAAACGTCTGGTGAACGGAAGTAGAACAGATTAAATCTGTGGTTCGTGGTAATGGTTAGAAGCACTCCGTAGTTTGATAACCGATGGTCAAGGAACGTTGATACTATTGACTCCATTGATGTATCTTCGGTAAGGCATGTTATTGTCCATCTGGTAAGCCTATCCACAGCAGTAAGGATATGTGTGAAAGAATTCGGTGGTGGAAGAGGAACAACGATATTCACATGTACGTGTTGGAAGCCTCTATCAGGTTATGGAAACGCTCCGAAAGGGCTGACTGTATGTCGTTGACATTGCACGCAGTTCCGTGTCCACCTTATAACACCCGAGTAAGTTTTTGGCCAGACAAGAGAACAATAACGAAGAGATTGGTGTAAGGTTGTGTGGTAGTAATGAGGGAACGGAAAGGTACAATCAGAAGAAATCTTTCAGTTAAGGGAGATACAACCACTTTTTATGAAGAAAGTAAAAGAAGATTACAGCAGGATCGCCACTGGCTTCTATTCTGAGCCATATCTGATAACGTCTCTAGCCACTGTGTAGCACCATCTCTCAGACCCCAACCAGGGAGTCGTGAAGGACCGACAGAAGCCAGTTCTTTGCAGCTTTCTTTCATGCCACGACACCATGTCATGCACTGACCACCTCTCCGCTTCTTCCAACCAGTCCGAGTCGGCAAATAATGCACGACGTGGAATTCTCTGGGACGACATTCGTAGAACATGTCCAAGCCACCGAAGTCGGTGTTTCAAGATGGTGACGTCGATTGCATTATCATCTCTGTGCCCGAACACACGATGCCGAACCTCTGCATTACTAACATGGTGTTGCCACTGGATGTCAGCAATCCTTCGGAGACAACGATGATCGAACACAGAGAGTCGTCTAACGTCCTCAACTCGGAGAGGCCAGGTTTCACAAGCATAGAGCAAAACTGCTCTCACCGACGCGTTGTAGATCTGACCTTTTACAGCCAGACTAACATCACGAAGGCGCCAAAGGTGGCTCAGATTGGCATAAGCCGCTCTGGCTTTCACTATACGTGCATTAATCTCATCACTCACGCCGCCACCAGCACTTATGCAGCTACCCAGATACACGAACTTCTCGACTACGTCTATCTGCTCACCATCCAGGGTGAGTACAGGATTGGAATCCTGCCAGTCTTGTAGAAGTACTTTGCACTTCGAAGGTGCAAAGCATTGTCTAGTTGTAATTTAGTTATAGTTTCTAAATTGATATCTTGTTTCTGTGCCAGTTTATGGATGTCCTTTCGAGATGAAGCATCAGCTACGATATTAGAGTGCCTTTTGATGAACTGGATGTCGGCTATAAATTGTGAGATGTAAACCAATTGTCTCATTTCATGTGGTGAATGACGATTATATGACCTGTCCAAGGAATAACATATTAGTTCACGATTGGTCATTATCGTAAATTTGCGACCCTGTAATGGGAAGCTGGAATGTTTTACTGTCAAATAGATCTCTAGTAATTCTCGCTCAAAAGTGCTATAGCGTGCACGTGCTGGTGACAGACAATTAGAAGAATGCTACAGGTGTAATGATGTCACTGACTCGTTGAAATACTGCTTCTACTGTTTTTGGGGATGTTATTGGTGCACATAATTTGGTGTGTTGTAGGGCCAGGGTTTCAACACTGTAACAGCAGCATTTACCACCATAGACTTTACATTATCAAAAGCAGCTTTTCCGTCGAAAGATAAGATGAGGACTTCGTATTCGTTTCTTCTTGATCCGGTTTCAAAAGATCAGTTAGATTTTGTAATGTTGCTGCACAATTAGGTAAGAAATGACGAGAAAAATTACATATACCGAGATGTAGAAATTTTATTGAATCGAGATCTGAATAATTAATAATTTCTTCAGTCTTCTGAAGTGGCTTGATACTATGTGAGTCGATACAGTGTCACAGAAATTCCAAAGCTGGATTCCCAAGTATACAATTTAAAGGAATATCCACAAACATAAAACTTTTAAAGCGGTCGAAAACTGTACGTAAATGATGTACACGTTCTTCTCTTGGGCAGCTGGCGACTAAAACACCGTCGATATAGATAACCACACAGTTCAGACCCTTTATGACCTCATTTGTGAATCTTTGAAACGTTCGAGCATCATTTTATAGTCCAAATGGTCTCAAGATTTCAAACAAACCAGAGGATGTAATTATAGCTGTTTCTCAGCATCCTCTGATGCCATCGGAACTAGATTATATGCTCTTATGAAGTCCAACTTGGGAAAAACATTTTTTAAAGTTTCAACAGTTGGCGCTTCAATTACGTGCTAAGGTATTGAATTCCATTCGTCGATGATTCATTAGGAAAGCCAATAGTCAGATGACAGGTAATTTGTTCTGAGGTTGTGAACTATTATGGTGTATCCTCGTAAATCTTCTGCTTTGGAGGACAAGAAAAATTAGGGCGAATCAGATACAAATTTATCACTAAGTAATTTGAAAAATTTAATCAAGTCGCCTCTGGTCCATCGATATGACAATAGAAATAGCTGTAGTTTGGTCAGTCGAGCACCATGCGGAAGCTTTGCTATTCTGGTACTCAGCCTGGTTGCGGATTTTTGAACCTTTAACAGCTCATTGTCTCTTGTTAGAGAGGGGCTAGCAGCTTGTATGTAGTACTCTAGTTTAGGACGCACGAACACTGTGTACAGAGTCGAAACGTTCTCAGTACTGACATCTCTAGAGGGCCTACATATTGGCCATAGGGTTCTAAAACTTTTGACGGCTGTCACACGGCAGTATATATATATATATATATATATATATATATATATATATATATATATATATTGGCAACATGGTGACCAATATGCATCATAGTTAACTTGGAAGCATTCATTGGCAAATGCCAAGTTCGAGAACATTCAGATTTCTCCAGTTCATTTTGAAGCTCTAAAAAATCACCTTTACATTTTATTGCTCCCCATATCTTGACATCGTCAGCATATAACATAATCAATGGTGATAGGATACTAGGAAGTCCATTTGCATATAAGAAGAACAACACTGGTACTTTAACTGTACTTTGAGGGACACCGTTAAGCACAGTTCCCCAGCTAGACAACTTCGAGTTCACCCGCAATCCACGTTGACGCTCAACTAGGAAGTCCTTTATTCGCACATGCATGTCACATCCAATGTTGATATTGCTTAAATGACATAACCGCTGGATATGAGGAACTCTGTCAAAACCTCTACTGAAATCAATGTAGGCTACATCTATATGTTGCTCTTGACCTTTAAGAGCGCTCCAATTTTGGCGAGCTACTAATAGGATTGTGAGACATGAATAGCTTGTCCTAAAGCCATGCTACTTTACAGAAAGAATCCAGTTTTCTTATATATGCTCAAACCACTCCTTCCGAATAATTTTTCCTAAATTTTTAACAAGCACGTTACTTAGGCTTGTAGGTTGATAGTTCTCTTTTTTTTGTTTCGTACCTATTTTGGAGATAGTACTAACTATAGCATACTTCCAGTCCTTTGGTGATCGATGTTGGGCTTCAGATAGATTAAAACAGATGCTTTAGAGATCCGCAGGAAATATTGCTAATTCCTTTACCAACCCAAGGTGCAGTTCATCGGGTCTCATGTAGTTGCTTACATCAAGTTTGTGGCGGTAAATAAATCTCCACTGTAAACAGTTCTGTAAGCTGTCAGCGAATTCCAACTTGTGGGCGTTACCCCTAAGGTTTGTGTTGGGTCTAAGCTTAAGCAGATAGTGAAGAGGATATCCGGTTGTAATTGGGTTGCTTCTAAAATGTCTATACGTCTATTTATTTGAGCGTATTAACAAGATATCTAATAATAACCCTGACAAAAGATTTTGAGAAGTCAAGGTATATGACGTTAACCTTCCCTTTGAGATCAGGGTTGGTTTTCGTTTTGTCAACCGTGGTCAGCAGGTTGGTTATGCGAAAGTGACCCTACCTATTGTGAAGAGGGAGACAAAAAGCCGTGACAAACTACGAAAGCAATTTTTCGAGACGTTATTTCATTTTATTCAAAGCTTGTAAAATATTAACATTTATTTTTGTCCCTATTTTATTCTACAGAACATGAGCTTTCGTTCGATGTATCATTCATTACCATATCCCTTTTTGTTCCGAAACTATTGTAATTTAAACATAATATTTTGCATCTTATTTTCTACCCTAAGTCCCAGTTTTGGACATAATTGTATTTTCACAAATTATCGTACGTTGTGGTCAGGATTTTCACTTATTTATTCATGTACCTTTTTGCACTAATCTGAATTCAGAGATTTTACAGGATATCGCAATACAGCCAGTAGTGTTCCAACTGTCTTGTCTTCTCTCACTTGCATGCCTGCCAGCCAATCAGGTGCTAGAATAGTTTTCTTCTCTCTACCCCAGCTCGAACTTACGCGTACTAGCCTCAAGGTTAAACAGATCGGCCTATTGCGTCAAGGTCTTAATCTAGAGTAGACAGGTCATAACAAAGTGGCGACAGAGTCATAACACTACCTTAAATCGTGCTGTTTGGTGAAAAGAAGTTTATGAATAGTACTTAGCCACGTAGACCGTCGCAAATCAAATACTGTATAATCTTTAGGATATTGAGACAAGTCAGTCAGTCAGCTACAACGTAGGACCAGGCACATATATGCATCGGTTTTAGTTGCCATACCTCATTAACACAACAAGATGGACACCGGAT